AATATGGATCAAAGGATTTGCATCAAATTTTGTGTAAAAAATAAAATAAAGTGCTCCGAAACACTTGAAATGTTGACGGTGGCATACGGTGAAACTGTTCTGAGTAAAAAAGATGTTTAGAAGTGGTACAAACTCTTCCAAGATGGCCGGGAAGATGCCAATGACGAGCCTCGCTCTGGACGCCCAAGCACGTCAACAACTGATGAAAACGTTCAAGCAGTGAAGAACATTGTTCTGGAAAATCGTCGAATTTCTATCAGAGAAAATGCTGAGGATGTTGGTATATCGCTTGGCTCGTGCCATGAAATTTTTTCTAACGTTTTGGGCATTAGACGTGTGTCAGCGAAGTTTGTTCCGAAATTGCTAAATTTTGACCAAAAGAACCGTCGCATGAGCATCGTTCAAGAACTGTTGAATGACGTCAACGACGACCCAGATTTACTCAAAAGGGTCATAACTGGTGACGAATCATGGGTATATGGTTATGATATCGAAACCAAAGTCCAATCGTCCCAATGGAAGAGCCCAGATGAGCCAAGACCGAAAAAAGCACACCAAGTTCGATCAAATGTCAAAGTTTTGCTCACTGTTTTCTTTGATTACCATGGCGTGGTGCATCAGGAGTTCTTACTACATGGACGTACGGTCAATAAACAGTATTATCTTGAAGTTATGCGCCATTTGCAAGAAGCAATACGAAGAAAACGCCCAGAATTGTGGAAAAACAATTCATGGCTTTTGCATCACGATAATGCCCCTGCTCACTCATCTTTGCTTGTGAGAGATTTTTTGGCCAAAAACAACACCACAATCATACCTCAGCCACCATATTCACCGGATTTGGCCCCATGTGACTTTTTCTTGTTTCCAAAACTAAAGAGACCTATGAAAGGAGGGAGATTTGCAACGATTGCAGAGATAAAGACTGCATCGCTGGAAGAGCTCAAGGCTATACCGAAAAGTGCTTATAAGAAGTGCTTTGAGGATTGGAAAAACCGTTGGCATAAGTGTATTGTATCTGAGGGGGGATATTACTTTGAAGGGGACAACATAAATATTGATAAATAAATAAATATTTTTTCTTCAAAATACAAAGTCACCTTACTTTTTGAACACACCTCGTACTACTGTCGATGAATTAAACTAACCGATCTTATTTATTTTCTGTCACGCTTGTGTTCGCCTAACTAACTTTCTACTAATCCACGATTGCAGTAGTGAACCTTTACTCGATTCTTTTCATCTCTCGTTTCGCTTCGTTATCTCGCTCATTCAAGCGAAATATGTATGTACCAGTATACCAGGAGCAGATCGACGGTACGGTTAGTCTTGTAGCGAGAGATGGAAGTTCTATAACGGCGTTAGTACTTTATTTTCTACACCGTTAGAAAATAAATTTATTATATAAAAAGGAAATTGTCGTATGCATTCAATGCTGTTTGTAGAAAAATTGTATAATATACATCCAATACCAATCAAATATATATTTAAATTCTCTTTTTGTAAAATGCAGAGAGAGGATATTGAATATGTATTTATGAAAGAGATAGTGTTATAGTCGACGAAAGAATATGTTTTCATTTGAACTATTGGGAGTACAAATAGAAAATCGCCGTTTTTTCTAATAATTTGAGGTTTTAATGTAAAAAACTTGTTACAATCTTATTCTTCAAAATAATTTCCATCCTTAGTGTATTATTGTACTTATTGGATCCACGAATCGATCCAATTTTTGGTTTCTTCGTAAGAACGAAAGTGCTGTTCGGCCAGGTCATGCGTCATCAATCGGAACAAGTAGAAATCAGAAGGGGCGATGTCAGGAGAGTACGGCGGGTGCGATAGGATGTCCCATTTCAAAGTTTCCAGGTATGTTTTAACGACCTTGGAAACATGTGGCCGAGCGTTGTCATGCAGAAATATGACCTTGTCGTGCCTTTCCGCGTACTTTGGGCGTTTTTCCTTTAACGCTCGACTCAAACGAATCAATTGCGTCCGATAGAGGGCTCCTGTGATGGTTTCGCGTGGTTGCAGGAGTTCATAGTAAATTACGCCAAGCTGGTCCTACCAAATACACAGCATCAGCTTCGAGCCATGAATGTTTGGTTTCGCTGTCGAAGTTAATGCATGGCCGGGAAGACCCCACGATTTTCTCCGCTTTGGGTTGACATAGTGTATCCACTTTTCATCGCCGGTCACAATGCGATGCAAAAAACCCTTCCTTTTTTGCCATTGGAGGAGTTGTTCGCACGTGATAAGACGCCGTTCGATGTCCCTCGGCTTCAGCTTGTACGGCACCCAACATCCCACTTTCTGGATCATTCCTAAGCATTTCAAGCGATGGGAAACGGCTTGCTGAGTTACGCCCAATAAATCTGCAAGTTCCTGTTGCGTTCTGCAAGAATCTTCATCCAGCAAAGCCTCCAATTTCGCATCCTCGAACTTTTTTACGGGTCCGGGACGATCCTTGTCATCTACGTCATACTCGCCATTTCTAAACTTTTGGAACCATTCCCGACACGTTCTTTCACTAATACAGCTGTTACCATAAGTTTCTACAATCATTCGACGCGCCTCAGCTGCATTTTTTCCCGAATGAAATGCAAAAAGCAACACTTCCCGCAAATGTCTCCTGTTCGGCTCGAATTTTGCCATTTTTGCGCACGAACAAAACAAAGCACAGTAAAAATAGACAAGCGAGGTGATGAAGAGTTGTTGACAAATGCCTCAGCTGGCTATGTAACGTTCCTGTTAACAATTTTTTACCGACGTGCAATGCTGACGCCACCTATGGGAAAACGGCGGTTTTCTATTTGTACTCCCAATATATAAATGTAAATAAAATTATTTTGTTGTTAAAAAATTTTTGATTAGTAGATTGTTATTGTTATTTTTATTATGACTGAAAGAACTACATCTACGTGAAACGCTGCAGGGGTGCATTAGGTACTTGTATGCAATACCTTGGTTCCTTATAGTCAAGAGTGTGTAGAGCAACCTTTTCATTTTGAAGAGGACAACATAAATATTGATAAATAAATAAATATTTTTTCTTAAAAATACAAAGTCACCTTACTTTTTGAACACACCTCGTATATTGCATGTATCGAGTGCACTAATACTCGAGTACTAATATACAGTATGATGGTGAGTCCGGATCCCTCTCAATATTTTTCTTTGACTTCTACGCGTGACTTACACACATTCCTATGAGTAAAATTCAAAGTTGACATTATCATCTTTCACCCCAAAAAAATTTCGATCTAATTCGTGCAGTTTTAAAAAGTTATTTTACATAATTTTTTTCAACAATCATCATCAAAAATCTTCAAATGCTTTGTACTATACGTCGTTCGTTATAGTATGTTCGTACTATACATAACATTTATTATGCATGTACCCTGTAACTGGTCTGTTTTTCGGAAAAATAGAATGTTGCGGTGACGCGACTGTGAGTGAATGGCTGCGCCCGAAAGGCGCGGTACTCGTGTATAAGATCGTGAAAGCGAAGGGTATATTAGCTCGTTGCTCTATAGCTTTACCGGCTATGCGACTCAGTACCTGAGCTTTAGTGTGAGCCTAGAAAACTAAGTGTAAAACTAACCCAATGGCCAAACACTACAAAATGAGTTCGACAAAGATAACGAAATCGTGTATGTATCGCAAGTGCGAGAGAGAGATGTCGTGATTCTACAAAAATGCGCGAGCGCACTCGCTGCCCTAGCCGACATTCGTCCGCTGTATTCGCCTCAGCGTAAAGGGGTTTTTCGAGCTCGACAAGCTCAAGGCTAAACACTCGGGTGTCCGCTGATATGCCGAGGTTCTTCGGCGCTTCGTCCTATGGAACCTCACATTACGTCGGCTCTCGCGGGGAAACGCTCAGTTTGCGTCATTCGTTCCGATGCGTAGAAAAATACACGCGGATGGCACTCGACACGAAGTTTTCCTGAATCCGCCTAATCGTCGCTGTACCAGAACATCGAAAACTATGAAAGTTTTGAGGATCGATGCGGCGACACATGCCAACACGAATAGTCTGCTCGTAAACGTGAGCGTCGCTCCTTTCTCTCTCCCGCGCGCTCTCGCTCGCGTCGCTCTTCGGTCGCCTTGCATCCGATGCTGCAACGGTCACACGAGGTCCAAATGCGCGACACGAGTGTTGCTCGTTACAACCTCTATGACCACACAACCGGATGTCCATCTAATCATTGGTACATTATCTATATAAACTACAAATGTGTGTTTGACAGATTGACCAGGCTGATCGACTGTGTTAAGTTTCATGTGTGGTTAGGGTAATAAATTTGTCTATTATGAGCGTTCATGATCCTAGCACAATGACTAAAAACAGCTCCTCCTCTCATAGATTTTTCAAAAAAGTTAAAACCTCCATGTAAGTAGGTTGCACGTACGTCTGGAGACTACTTTCAAATCAAAATTGGTCTTTATGTACGTAAGTGTGGCTACGAAGCGTCCATTTAAAAATGTTACATAGTTGTCTTGTTGAATACAAAATTTCAAAGTTCTTTATTCGTAGTCATACGTATCGTGCAGTTTTACACCATTTTTGATTTTAAAGTACTCTTCAGCACACCTGACGTCTACTCGTATGGAGGGTTTATATTTTTGAAAAAACTGTGTAAGAAAGATGATTTTCAGTCAACTTACTAAATAATTAGATGTTATAATAATTACATTTTTTTCTCCATTTACTCATGCGATTAACTTTAAATATTCTCATATGCATTTTTGGTAGCATTTACATATTTATTGAATTATACGATAATTTTACGATCTCGAGGAATTAACCATGAATGCCTAGGCAATTCAGTTTTATAAAGGGATCCATAATAACTTATCTGATGCTAGCTTATTTCTTCTACTTTTTAGTTCACATTTATAGGAAATAAAATAAAATTACGAATATAAATTTTCACTCGAATTGTATATGAGAAGTTACTTAATCTATATATTAAAGAATAATATATTTTTTAAATATACCATTTAATTAAAATTTTTACAAAATTTTGATTGAAGCATTTATTAGCATTTTTATCCAAATTTGAAAAATGAGTTGTATTTTAACGTTCCATAAACCTTTAAACATGACATCGTTGGACCATCAATTGGGTATTCTGGAATAAAAACATTATATGGTTGAAAGCCTTGTCTCTGAAAAATGTTAATATTAATAGTATTAAAATGTATTACTTACCTAGTCGCTTAATTATCGTACATTGTGATGAAGGGACATCATAATTTATTTTATAACCGATGATTCTTTCAATATTTTGGATTGAAATCTTGGAATGTTCAAAATCAACCCATTGAGACAGACACTCAGAAAGATCTGAAAAATGCATCCATTTTAACTTTTATTCATGTAAACAATATTATGTAAGCAATAACAGTTATAAAATATGTATTCAATAGCAAGTCAGTTATAAAGTATGTATTCATTATAAATATCTATATCAATTTTAATAGTGTTGTTACATTCCAGATATAGTTCTACGATGCGACACGAGATCCGAACGTAATCACATCGCGATCTTACGTAAAGTCGACATAAGTGTCTACCTGTTAGGACAGCAGAGTCGTTTACCGGGTTAACGGAACTTTTTCATCGAGTCAAGTTATCTCAAAATGGGAACTACGTCAGCGTTTGCATCTGAAGCACAGACACTCCCATCAATCCCTCGAAGAACTATAGAGTGACTGGGTAGCTATGAATGTGAATTTACGTGCACAGCAAATTGTGGTTCATATCTGGAGTGCATCTAGCAGTAAATTCTGGAGCACAGCTGAATCCTGCCAAGTCACTTCAGTAACAAGGAAAAGATACATAGCATAGGAAAAGGAGCAAGGAAAGCCACCACAGAAAAGATAGTGTAAGCCACTAGCCCATACTACCCGAGATTATTTTTCACGTTATTAATTCCTTTAATGCTTCACAAATTACAGAAAGAATTAATTTTTTGTATTTACTATTTCCTTTTTTTCGTTCATCTCATTCTGAACAATAAAAATATTTCAATGAATTTTCAATCCAGGCTATGAAATATGAATTTAGACAAAAGAAGTATACTTGTTCGAAAAGAAAAAGGAATTAAAATCACTTTATGACGATTGTCAAAATATCATACAAGAATTATATCATGAATTGTCTAGGAGGAGTACAAATCCGCGTATTTTGACAAACAGATTAATTATATACCTTATAAAAAAACTTACTATAGAAAAAAAATAGATCTTCACTATTAGATCTTAAAACAGTACGCGTAATTCTGCAGACGCTGGCGTAATGTAGCCGTAGATTTTTACAATATTCGGAGTTCGAGGCACGGTTTTAGTTTAGAAGTATATAACGCGTCAATTCAGTCAACCTTGTATGAGAATGGACATTAATATTATATTTTTTAAGTAAAAATGGTAAGATACAAAAAAATTGTAATGCATAAAGTTTTGTTAAGAGCTCGTGCGTATTAAAAAGCGACCGTAATGGAAAATAGTGAGTGCGAATGCGAGACAGAGAGAGCAAGAGAGACTAACCTAATATTCAAGAGCATGCCGAGGAAAAGCATGCGTACGTGCGATAAAAAGGGAAAGTGACATCTAACTAGGCAAAATAGTTAGTATCGCGTCGATAGCCAACCCACAAGCAGAAGAATAAATAGAAAAAAGGTTGAGTCTTCTCTTGTTCTTTTAGCCCAAGTCTCTTTGTTGCAACTAATTCTTGCACATAATCATGAAAGTGAAGTATGGTGACCATCGAAAGCTCGACGCCCAACGTACCAAATATAAGCAGGATCGTTGTCTGGGGCGTCATTAAGCGATCGCTGTGATTGATCAAAGGAAGCCACTAGCGTTCACTAGCCATTCACGCTCGTCTGTTAAATCATACATGCATCTTTTCTACAGCAGCGATTCAGGGTACCAGATAAGCGTTGGTTGTTTCAATCACTGATCGCTTTCACGTGCGATTTTCTTTGTCTCACGAGCGCTTTTATTTGTTTTACGTCCACCATACCTTGCCGCTAGAACGCTTATATTCATTTTCTCTTCTCTCTCACTCACTCTCAGTTATCGTGACCTGAGTGCGACTGATGGTAGACTTTATCGTACGTCTAAAATTTCTCGATCGAATCACCAAAGTCATCATATACGAGGTGTGTTCAAAAAGTAAGGTGACTTTTCAAATTTCACAGGCAACGTACTTTCGATTATCGATTTTTTTGTTTTGTTATGTTGGTACACTCTTCCCGAACATCTGTACCAAGTTTCAAGTGTATAGCATTTTTTGTTTGATTGTGAGAGTCGTAAAGGTTATAAGTGTTTTGCGTGCTCGGCGATTTCTTGCTATCGAAAAATATGGATCAAAGGATTTGCATCAAATTTTGTGTAAAAAATAAAATAAAGTGCTCCGAAACACTTGAAATGTTGATGGTGGCATACGGTGAAACTGTTCTGAGTAAAAAAGATGTTTAGAAGTGGTATAAACTCTTCCAAGATGGCCGGGAAGATGCCAATGACGAGCCTCGCTCTGGACGCCCAAGCACGTCAACAACTGATGAAAACGTTCAAGCAGTGAAGAACATTGTTCTGGAAAATCGTCGAATTTCTATCAGAGAAAATGCTGAGGATGTTGGTATATCGCTTGGCTCGTGCCATGAAATTTTTTCTAACGTTTTGGGCATGAGACGTGTGTCAGCGAAGTTTGTTCCGAAATTGCTAAATTTTGACCAAAAGAACCGTCGCATGAGCATCGTTCAAGAACTGTTGAATGACGTCAACGACGACCCAGATTTACTCAAAAGGGTCATAACTGGTGACGAATCATGGGTATATGGTTATGATATCGAAACCAAAGTCCAATCGTCCCAATGGAAGAGCCCAGATGAGCCAAGACCGAAAAAAGCACACCAAGTTCGATCAAATGTCAAAGTTTTGCTCACTGTTTTCTTCGATTACCATGGCGTGGTGCATCAGGAGTTCTTACCACATGGACGTACGGTCAATAAACAGTATTATCTTGAAGTTATGCGCCATTTGCAAGAAGCAATACGAAGAAAACGCCCAGAATTGTGGAAAAATAATTCATGGCTTTTGCATCACGATAATGCCCCTGCTCACTCATCTTTGCTTGTGAGAGATTTTTTGGCCAAAAACAACACCACAATCATACCTCAGCCACCATATTCACCGGATTTGGCCCAATGTGACTTTTTCTTGTTCCCAAAACTAAAGAGACCTATGAAAGGAGGGAGATTTGCAACGATTGCAGAGATAAAGACTGCATCGCTGGAAGAGCTCAAGGCTATACCGAAAAGTGCTTATGAGAAGTGCTTCGAGAATTGGAAAAACCGTTGGCATAAGTGTATTGTATCTGAGGGGGATATTACTTTGAAGGGGACAACATAAATATTGATAAATAAATAAATATTTTTTTTTAAAAATACAAAGTCACCTTACTTTTTGGACACACCTCGTACTACTGTCGATGAATTAAGCTAACCGATCTTATTTATTTTCTGTCACGCTTGTGTTCGCCTAACTAACTTCCTACTAATCCACGATTGCAGTAGAGAACCTTTACTCGATTCTTTTCATCTCTCGTTTCGCTTCGTTATCTCGCTCATTCAAGCGAAATATGTATGTACTAGTATACCAGGAGCAGATCGACGGTACGGTTAGTCTTGTAGCGAGAGATGGAAGTTCTATAACGGCGTTAGTACTTTATTTTCTACACCGTTAGAAAATAAATTTATTATATAAAAAGGAAATTGTCGTATGCATTCAATGCTGTTTGTAGAAAAATTGTATAATATACATCCAATACCAATCAAATATATATTTAAATTCTCTTTTCGTAAAATGCAGAGAGAGGATATTGAATATGTATTTATGAAAGAGATAGTGTTATAGTCGACGAAAGAATATGTTTTCATTTGAACTATATAAATGTAAATAAAATTATTTTGTTGTTAGAAAATTTTTGATTAGTAGATTGTTATTGTTATTTTTATTATGACTGAAAGAACTACATCTACGTGAAACGCTGCAGGGGTGCATTAGGTACTTGTATGCAATACCTTGGTTCCTTATAGTCAAGAGTGTGTAGAGCAACCTTTTCATCATTTGTTCACCCTTTGTTCATTGTTTCACCCTTTCATCATGGTGTAAGAAGAGAAAGTTTTACACGCATCATGATATGATATACTGTAACATTAGAAAAAACGACACCTGTAATTACGCTGTTTTGAACTGTCGTGCACTGAAAACATGACTGGCGTGGATTTGTTATTGCTCAAGTGGCACACATCTTAACGGTATGAATTATAGAATCTAACTTTCTCTATTAGATGTGGTTCTATCCCAGATACTTGCAGGACCAATAGGGATTTTGAGTCCCGGTGGATTCGTCAAAAATTTTTATGTGATACTTTACATCCTCCTGATCAAAAGTATTTATAGACTCCAAGTTCAAAAATGGATAGTTTTGTTTCGATCAATGCACGATAAAAGTCATGTTATTATTCGTTTACCTGTGCATCTTCCAAATTTTTAAAACATAACAATTCGCACAGAACCTACTAATATTGACGAGATAAATAATGCAATTGATTCGTAAAAATCAATGTTGATAAATTATTTTGATTTGAATATGCGAGATCCTAATGCGCATCAATATTATTACTCTGAAATTCTAGAAAAATATGTTTTTATCATGTCTTTTGTAAAGATATTTATGTAAATATTTAGTGGGTATCATACTTGAACAAAATCCTACGTTAATATGACAATTAACCTTCAAAGATAACATTGGAGTATAACATGACGATTATCTACTTCATAATCATTAGAACGTAATTATGTTTTTCCAGTAGATACTGGAAAAACATTTACGTTCTAATGATTATGAAGTAGATAATCGTCATGATATTATAAATCTCTTATAAAGAAATTGTCTTTATAAGAGATTATTTATAATTTAAATAATTTAAGAATTTTATAATTCTTTATAAGAGATCTTCGGCGATAAGAAACAAAATCATTTTCATAAATTATTGTTTCTTAAAATTGTTTACGGTATTTTTTCGAACATTTTCCATCAATAATACATAAATCTCCACAAGGACAAGCTTTTCCAAACAAAGATCCTACTCTCGTATTTTGATTGTATTGGGCAGAGCAACCTTTGTTTTTCCAGGCTCAATTGGCTGAAAAATGCTAGCAGTATCCTAGGTGTTGCCGAAATTTGAGTTCTGATTGATCGAAGGCGGGTTGCGCGGAATTGAACATATTTGAAAGTTTTAGGCCTTTTCCAGATAAATGACCCTCCGTGTACAA